CAGCTGGCAAGAACAGGATCTGAACAGGACCTGAACCAACTCGCGGCATCTTAGTAGGAGAGTATTGCAGGGAATGAAACCGCAGATCAGCTGGCAAGAACAGGATCTGAACAGCCGTTCATAGGACATGAACCAACTCGCGGCATCTCAATTGGAGTTGCCAAGAATGCGATCAGGGACTGGACTGATAGAAATCATAAAAAAAAAAAATACTGGGAATCCATAATTGGACTCAAACAGGCAAAGGGTTTTATATGAGGACCCTTGGTCGGAAGAACGAAGGATCTGTTGAGATTAAACAGAGATCAACTAAGATGGGTGGTAGGATTACTTACCGGACATTGCCACCTGAAAGGATACCTTTTCAAGTTAGGACTGACAAATAACCCAACTTGTGAAAGGTGCCTACAAGAAAACGAATCAGCCATGTGTGACTGTGAGGCCATAGCTTATTTAAGATTTTGTCACTTGGGTCAGTTTTTTATGGAACCAAATGACTTTTATGACGACCCTATAAGCAGGGTCCTACACTTTATTAAAAGTGTAGGATTAATAAAGGGCTAATACAAGGGGAAGCACAATAGATCATTTTAGGTCATAGTGCGGGGGTCGGTTTTTATGGCCCACCCCTTACATACATTACAACATGAAAATATACTCCGTGTGAAGTTAATATGAAAATGTAATACTTCCATCGTCGAAATTCATAAATTTAGCATTTTTCGAAATGCCAACTTTTTTGGAAAATTCTGATTGAAGTGTCAGTTGAAGTCCTTCTGTGTAGCTGTCCCGCAGTCCATTATGTTTGTCGTTTGAGGTCAATAGTGCATAACCCTCGGTTCACCGGAGCGCCGTAACCGGAGAAAGGGGATCATTTTGATTCGCTTTCATGAACTGAAGGTCCCGCATGATGCATACACTGAAATTTCTCTCGATATCAGCGATAAATATGAACGCGGCCATCAGTACTCTCACATCGACGCATGTTACTACAGATAGAAATAACTTTCATTCAATTTAAAATATTACATTTCTCCTTTCATTGTATAAATTTTTGCATTGTAATTGAAGCATTACACAATTTTCAGACTTCCTGAATTACATCGGGCCACCGAACCACTTTTTGGTTAGAGTCCAGTGCGGTACGCATAGAATGAGGGTTTGTGGTGGTTTCGTTTCTAAAAATTATTATTTACAAATTAACTTCAAAGAGTTAGAAGAGAAATGCGTTTAGTTTTAATGAATATGTTATTATTGCGACCAATGAAAAATGATAAATTTAGGAAATTCGTTATATAACTTTTCGCCTTCTTCCTGTCAGAGTGATATTTTTATATTTATCTGGTATCAAGTGATTGGTAAGTGACTCATGTATCGGAATTACATCTACTGCTGCACTCAGAAATTAAATTGTGTTGTGCTGTGTTGGACTGAGTCGTCTGTTGTTAGCAAATCAGATACCAATCCGCTTTCCGTTGTATCGGACCATATGTTCCCGCAATTGAACTCTGATATGACGTGGAATCTCATTACCGTAAATCCATCCTGTCAACTTTAATCATTCCATATTCGGGTTTCCAATTAATCCTAATCATAATTATAGTCGTTTATTTGCGATAATTAGCTCCAAAATTAGCAGCACGATTGATGAGTGAAAAGAGGTGGAGATACCTTGAAATCACCTCTAATTAAGGCAAGAGAAAGCGGCCTCCGTAGTCTAGGGATAACGTTCCCACCTCATGACTCAAGGTACGCGGGTTAAAACCCGGCGGAGGTCGTGAAATTTTTAAGGGCGGAAAAATTTAGGGAACAAGTCCTCCGGGAGGGACTTTAAGCCGTGGGTCCCGTGTCGTAGATTTACGGCACGTAAAAGAACCTCATGCCTCTAGGAGACCTCTGAGCTAAATTAGGCCAAAAAGTTTCCCGCCCAAATAGTTTCCAATGCCTCCGATAGATGGGGAAGTATTTGATACCACTGCCAGAGGAGGGACGACCTCTCTGACAGAAAGGGACTAATTATTAGATACCACTGCCAAGTAGAGGGTACAAACCTTGCTGGCAGAAAGGGGCTAAAGTATTAGGTACCACTGCCAGAGGAGGGACTAACTCGCTGACAGAAAGGGACTAACTATTAAATACCACTGCCAAGTAGAGGGTAGAAACCTCGCTGGCAGAAAGGGACTGATAGCGAGCACCACTATCGGTAGGGGATGGAGACGGTAGAAATTAAAAGGGGGATGTACAATAGACTATCAGTCGCGGTGCATGGGGAAACCCACCCCCTCAGTACTGAATCACTGAAGGCAAGAGAATGCCGTGATCAAGTGATCAGCACTCTTGCCTCCTATTCGGGAGAAGCCGGGTTCATGCCAAGGCCCACACGTCGGCTCCTCGCACTGAAGTTTTGCATCGTTTTCCTTGTCATTCCAGGTAAATGCCAGGATAGTTTTTCAAATAAGACCATGGTCACTTCCTTCCTCATCCTTTTAAATTTATTATTTATTAATCATCCTATCGTTTGACGCTACATCCTACAGTCTCAACTACAAAAGCGTCGTTAAATAGAAGAAACAAATGGAAAATCCTTCCCGCAAGATGTTGCCACTGGATTTATTATCATTTAACCATTCTACGGTAAAGTCTCAGCTACTGAGAATATCGCTAAGTAAACCAATTGTAAGTAAATGCGTCGAGCCTGTCGTAGATTTGTTGCTACTGAAATACTGTCGACTGATCAAGTTTCGTTTTTACGTGACGTTATATCGCCGGAAATCCTATTTTGGAACTACTGTCTCACTGCAGCTGTCTTCTTGTTTGCTGAAATTACTAAAAAAAAAAAAACACTTAATTTGTTTTACAGCAATAATATTATTATGACCGTGCCATAGCTCAGGCGGTTAGTCGCCGGCTTCCACCGCGGCGGTCCGAGTTCGAGCCCAGGTCAGCTCATGTGAGATTTGCGGTGGACAAAGTGGCAGATTTTCTCCGAGTAATTCGGTTTCTCCTGCCAATTTTCACTCCACCGACTGCTCCACACTCATTATCTATGATCTGGGGCTTGTACAATGGTCCAAATATTGGCCACGCACCAAGTGGACTCAGTTTCACCCCACTCCCAAACAGGTATTAATATAGAGTCGGGATAGCGACTGGCTACGGGCTGGACGTCCGAGGAGTCGGAGTTCGAGTCCTGGCAGGGTCAAGAATTTTCTCTTCTCTGCGTCGTCCAGACCGGCTCTGGGGCCCACCCAGCCTCCTATACGATGCGTACTGGGGGTAAAGCGGCAGGGGCGTGAAGCTGACCACTCACCTCAAACTAATTCCGAGGTCTAGAAAATGTGGATCTATTCATCCACTCCCACATACGCCTTCATGGCCTGGAGCTTAATTAAACACGGGGATAACTTTAGCTTTACTTTTATCTAGACTAGATAATGCCCAGCAGTACTATATCTCGAAAAAGATGAAAAACCGACAATTCTGCAGCTTCATTCTTCTACTTCTCGGCTCAGAAATATCAATGCTCAGTTGCCAAAGTTGATGATGTGACTTAGTAATGAGTTGGGGCATTAGTCAAAGATTCAAACGTAGTCACACCCATACGATTTCCTTTGTTGCAGACATCTTTGCATGTGAGTTTCACAGATACGGGAAAGCAGGTACCTGTTATTTTTAGCACGTCCACCTGTCTGTACGCATGAAATAATTTATCTCTTGCACGGTTTTTGGTGAAATGTGACATTTAGAGTTCCATTTAAAAGTTATCTATCAAATTACACGTAAGTATGAATTATTCGTAAAACTTGAATGAAACACAAAATATTTCAGACGAACGATATGGCTACTAATAAGCTGAACAGTTTGCAACCTATGTCGTGGATTTGTTTTCGAAATAATAACCACGAATTGCACCTTCATTTGATATGTTGCCGCCCCCGTTGAGTGACGCACACATGGATGTCTGTCAACCGAGGATAAATTCGAACCACAGATAATCCTAACTGTGTTATCAGAAGCGTGGCAGTACTACTCATAGCACGAGCGGTCTTGCCCAGCGTTTGTTCATAACGGAACATAGCGGTCCACAAGCCACATGCTGGTAACCAGTAGTAGATTTTTCCGTGAAATGAGTCACGCCGAACCAATGCTAGCCCTCAGGGGCATTCCTGTCCCTCACACTCTCTTGCTGTTGTGAAACTGAACAACTTGTTTCAAAGCATTCACTAGATATGTGGGATGCTGCATCAAGGGTGCACAAGTCCATTGTGGTATTTACGAGGGACACGATTGGTGACCACACATGGCCTTTTTGAGCAGGGCCATATAACAGGACGCAGGAAACTGAAATCAGGCAGAAAGATATACCCTATAGCACCCAAATAGAGTAATTGATAAAAAAAACAACACTCTATGGCCATTATCTCTTCATATGATTGTCTTTACACCTAGAGCCTATGCAGAATAGGATGAATCGCTGATGTCTGACTTGTCTTTGGAAGGTACTCGGTTCGAATCTTGGAAATAGCAATGAGTACATCAAAGTTCTTCTGAGTATTCTCAATATTTGCATTGTTAGAGGTAAAGTAGTTCCTTGAAATTAATGCACAACCCTTGCATCTTCCCAAATGTATATTCTACAATGGAGCTGAAGACAAGTAACACTAAAGTATTCCCGTATTACTGACNTGTACTTCCATTTTTGTCTCCAATATCAGATGAATGCACGAGTAGAATAGGTATCAATAGTTGGTCAATTATGTTGGAATTCACATATATCATTCCCAATAATTTAATGTATATACACGGCCTATATGTAGTGACTAGGCATTACATCAGTTGCTGGGTTATAAAAGAGCTAGATTTGAATTTGACTTTCACCATAAGTTCAACATTTTGATGCAGTTTTCTTTCCATTATGATTCATTTGCTTGCAATTTTTATTAATCATCTTTTCCTTCAGTAACAAGAAGGTGTTAATTAATAATGACATTGATTTTCAGTGGTCTAATTGGACGCAGCTGGGCCATGTTATTTGCTAGCGTTGGCTACAATGTGTACATTTATGACATTGACAAGAATCAAATAATGTCAGCCCTGAAAGACATTGAGGAACAAACAAAATCACTGGAGGCAAGGAAACTCCTTCGAGGAAATCTGTCAGCAAGCCAGCAGTGTTCACTTATTAAAGGTATCAATAAAACTATTTGTAATATGAATAATAAGTTTGCAAGGTATATGGACAGCATGTTATTTTCAGGTGTCAAACAATAAGGAAAGAGTGTCTTGTGCTGATAAGGGAAACAAAATTTTGGAAGTTACAGGAAGTCTGATAATGGTGTGCATGATGTTGGAAAGAAATCTAATACATCTAAACAGGAAATGGATTAGCAGCCCATGGGAAGAGAGCAGTTGATGTCGATGAGAAGACAATGTAAAAAATTGACTTAAGAAAAATCGGTTGCGTTCTGCTGAAATCTAAGTTTAATTTGTAATGTGTCTAGACTGTAGGTTTGTCAGACCTGCGAACAGTCTGAATTTCTACAGGACCAACTCGATTGGAGGGGCATGTGACTCTTCTGCCTGAGAGGTTTACTGGATGCTGTAAAAGTCTCACTGTATTGAAATGGACGTGAAAGAAACATGTTAAAATGTGCACTGAACTGACTCAAGATACAGCCCAGTTGGGGGATTATATTACAGTGGTTGCAATGACTTTTGGATTCTATAACAACTGCAATAATAACAGCAAATGTCTTAATCACCTGAATAACCACTTACTGCTGAAGAAAGACCCTGTAACCACAGGGGTACTTGCATTTTGTACCAGGATTGGAAAATTCATTTGGATGTTTACACACAGCAGAATAAAAATGTCATGTTGGATGGGAGTTTTTAATCTTTTTAACTAGGTGAACAACTTTTCTGGAATATTAGAGTCAGAAAACCATTGACAGAAATATATGTGCTGAATATTAAGACTATAAAAAATGATTTAATTGCATATTCATTTTCTTACAGTATTACTTTTAGTGAAGATGAAAAACTGCACTTCAGCTCGCACTTCATGACCCACACAAATGTTCTCACAACCCACTAATAGGTTGAAATCCACAGGTTAAAAACTAGAATATTATGATATATTTTGTTAGAGACTGTGTAAGTACGATATATTTTGTTAGGCACTGTCTCACTTACAAACAGAATGGAGTATAGTAATTTGATTTTATATGCCACAAATTATATTATTTGCCTAATCTTGATACATAATGTGAATTAATGATGTAGAAGGTAAGTTTTGGTTAACATCAAGGAGCACAGGTCAGTCTTTTTTCATTGTTGATGTAATTTGTGAATGCTGATGCAAACTTTGTTGTATAGCCTTGATTATGTGTATGGTTTCCATTTCTTTGGCCATGCAACATGTAAAATACTTGTCCTATAAATATATTAGCTAGTTTAAAAAAATTGTAATGACTAGATCCACTCATGCTTTTACATAATGTCCAAAAATTTGAAATAAATTAAAGCAGCATTTTGGAAGAGCTGTACCAAATTCTTGCTCAATGGAAAGTCATGTTCAATTGATTATGTCGCTGGACTGCTTTTAAACATTAAGTCTAAGATAAAGAATGTTGTTAGTATTATTTATTCAAGTTTACATTGTATTGTAAGCGAATGCTCAATTTTGTATCCATTGTAAATATATTTCCATCTGGCTCTGAATAGGGACCAGTGACTGACTCTTCCCTGCATGGTTACAAATGAATTAAGAAGAAAATTCAAACGTTTATTAATAGATGTCTGAGATATATATTAAGAATCTGGTGGCCCAGAACCATTTAAAATAGAGAGTTCTAGCAGTTATCTGGCCAAATGTATATAAATATGCATATATGGAAACGAAAATTTAGATGAATTAGCCACACACTGGAGAAGGATGATGATCAACCATCAAAGGTTGTGCTTCAGTGGAATCCTCAAGGAGTAAAGGAAAGGGGAGATCAAGAAACAGCTGGAGGAGATCCACTCTGATAAAAGCTGGAGAGAGCTGGAGTGAGCTGAAGTATTTAGTGGCAGATCAGGACAAATGGAGAAAGCTTGTAGATGACTTATGCTCCTGATGGAACTATAGAATTTATTATTATTATTATTATTATTATTATTATTATTATTATTATTTCCAAGGATGATGAATTAGAGAATCAAATTAAAAGTAATATTTGTCAAAGTCCTGCGAGTATTTTCCTATTCATCAAAATAAATTTAAAATTGAAAAAATTTCCTATTATTTGTGACATGAATTAAAGACTCTCCTAGAAATTCTACACAATCTTGTTTCTTATTGCCATGGAATTCGTGAGGGCTACACAATTCTTAAACTGTAATCTCATTCATTCTTATTGGAGTCATACACAAATCCTTCCAGATTTAAGAACAATTACTCTTAAGTTACAGAATAATATGCATTTCATTTTGTTTACTAAATAAGAATATGGGATCCTGTTTGTGTGATCCAAATTAAAGAGAATCTATTTTCTATCGAATTCTCAATACAGTGCAGTATGATATTAAACAGTTTTCATGTGACTATGTTATGCCATCTTGTGCAGTCTCTTGCACACTACCAGTAAGCAGGTAGAGATTGTAGTGACATCTATCAGATGTATTTTGGATCAGGTTATATAACACATTTTATAGATATAGAGTTATTGATTGCTTTGAGAATAAATGTTGTTACTGGTTTTGTGTGACAGAATGTTCTTCAATAAACAGATAATTCGCTATGACTCATTGATATATAGACAACAGAGATAAGACTGAAGTGGTATATTGAGTTCAAGATCATGTTCTTAGCAGCATGAAGATCTCTGTGATGGCACAACTGTTGTTTGAACAGAAATGATTAGATATTGCTGTTACTAATACACAGGATGGACAGGGGAACTACAAATTCAGGCTATTTAAATATGAAGTATTTCAAATGACTTCACAGATCATCACCAATAATACCAAAGCAGATTTTGTATTTTGCATGAACCAGTTCAGTCCAGTTTGCATATTCACAGTTTGTGTTATTAATGTCGCTTGTACTAGAAAAGTGATGTATTAGTAATGCTTTACACTTGTATCCAGGTTGTACCAAACTCAAATTTTGGTCATGCTACCAGTTATCTTGGCAGGTTTTCTTTTGTGATTTTATTCATTCTATCCTGGTGAAAGTCAGGATGTGCCATGGAATAGGCCAGACTTTCTCCTTTTTAATCGTTACATACTCATCATTCATGATTATCTTCTCACCTCGTTTGGTGCTGTATAACATCTTCATTCAAAGCAGTTATTTAAAATCCAATATCTCTTGTTCTCAGTTCTCTAAGTTGAAACTATCAAGATGAGTCCACACCAAAATTATGTGCACATTTATTGTTTCTTCCATTTGTTCTATATGTTCAGCACACTGTATTCTACTTGATTTAACCACTTCCATACTACCAAGTGAATGGAACGACTTATTAAACTACTTGTTATGCAGTACCTTTCATATATTAATTACTTGTTTTTATTAGTTCTCAAACATATTCCAAAGGATTTTGTTATCAAATACTTACATGACATTACTAAGGAAAAAGTTGCTTTGCAGTCTGCAGAACTCTGTGTTGGTGAATACTTGATGTGTAGGTAAGACGGTATGATTTGAAATTCTATGCTACAAATTTATTTATAACAAAGCTTTGAAGTAAAATGAACACAAAGTCCAAATTTAATTTCTATGTACTTTCATAAATATCAGATATGAAACTTTGTCTCTCAGTTATGGGAAGAACGAAGAGACAAAGGTATCTGAAAACAAAGCGAGAATATTTGGCCATAGAAAGATAAAGTAATGTTGGAATAGAGGAGATTACATAATTAGGAGCTTCAGAATTTGTATTTTTCACTTGGTGTTGCTAAGGTGACTGAAGCAGGAAGGATAAGGTAGGCAAGACATATAGAATGCAATTAAGGAACAATAAATGCACATAGAATTTTGTTGAATGGCATCAAACGAAAAGACCATATCAAAGACCTATGTGCTGACAGAATGGTAATATTAAAAGAGATCTTTCTGAGAAAGAAGTTGCAAAAATATGAAATGAATTGGACTGGTTCAGTGTAGGGTCTAGTAATGGGCTCTCATGAAGATGTGATGAGCCTTTTTGTTCCATAACAGCAAGGAATTCCATGTCCAGTTAATTAATGAACATATGCTCAAAGGAAACTGTACCACTGTCCATTTTGTGAAATTCAGATTTATCGAAATCTTGCAGTGAATACTTGACTTAAATGTCTCAATATTGGGCTTGTATCTTCCACTACCTTTTTTTGTTGTTGCATTTAGTGCTCTCTGATATTAGTTTGCAAGAAAATGTTGACTACTCCGATGAGATCTGAGTTCGTCATGGCAATGAAAATTAATATTATAGGACTTTGTATTGTAACATACAGTTTGGTAGTTAGTTAACATTTTGGAGGCGGTTGCTACATCCATATTCCCTGGTGTCATAACCTAGGAGGCTACAATCTTAGTCAATGTCATGTCTGCAAAAATATTGGACCTAACTCCACACAATTTCAACTTTGTAATGAACACCAATGTCAATTCTTCTCAGTGCTTCATTCTTAGAAGTAAATACTTGCTGTTCAATTTGTTAGAAATGTAGTGTTGTTAATGACAAATTGGTTTTATGTACCAGAGTTTTTCTTCTTGGCTAAATGATAATTTCATTGAACAGCATTCCTCTATTAGTATTGAGCAGCCAAAGGCAGCCATTTATTGAATTCTTAAGTTTTCTGATTTGTAAATGGCAGTAATGTACTTTTCCAAATGCTGCAACCCATTCTGTATGGCAGTTGGTAGCTACATAGCATGGTCATTGCTTTTATGCCACTGTCAGTGGTTAGATTGCAGTGTTGTGTTAATCTATGTCATTATTGCCTTACTCTATGGTTTATGGTCTAGTAATCCATGGTTGTTTCAGACTACCTCCTTTTGCAGGGCCATCCTTAAAAATTGCCTTTCCACAGTTCCTTGACAGGTGGTTGCATCTATTTGTACCTCATGTGTTCCCTGTTCACATTAGCCACCTGTCACTCATAACCTGGCAATGAGCTTGATGGTTAGCAGTTGTATTGTTAAGAATCATATTTATGGCTATTATTTGTCATGACATGACATCTGCAGTTGATTTAGCTCAATTAAATAACCAACAATCAGTCAGTAAATTGATTATCTGTAAATTTATATTACCAGAGTATGCAATACAAATATTCTGAGAATAAAATGGCTAGAGTGTGTAGCTGACTGCTCACCATCATGCAGTATCAAAAGGTCTAGAATTAGTTGAGTATCTACATGCTGTTGTACAACTTCATACTACAATGCTTGGGTACAGCAGAAGGTTTCCTTTTAGTCACCAATGATTGTTCTTTACATATACTTCAAAGTTTTCTGTAGGCTGCAATATTCTTTGAACATAAACAGAATTTTATCAGGAAAAATGGATCACATAGAAGAATAATTTATGCAACATAAAACATATACCATATTAAGCTCTGTAACTTTTGTTGGATATGTTTTTAAATTTAGTATATAATAATGGAATGCAAGAAAGATTTATTTTATAACTTGATTTAAAGTAAAGATTGTAATGGACCAGTTTGAACTATAATGAAATGCATCTGATAATTCTTAAAATAGACCGCTCCCACCCAATTCCAAATTTAATTGAAGTCCTGCCTTTGCTCCACAAGAATATTAATGTTTGATTCCATTTCTAAAATGTCAGTTTGCATCATGTCATGTAAATGCACATCGATAGCTCTTGAACACAACTTTGATTTTTGTTTCATATGCAATAAATACTTGACAATGTTATATTCTTTCAAAACAGCAACACCTTCACTAACAATTAAAGAAAAAGTTTTCCCACTCATGGAAACAGAAATATTCATCTGTCCACTTCACTGAAAGAAAATTCCACAGAGCTGACTTTACACTTTTGTTAAAGATATTACATATGTGTTTTTGTTTAATTTAGCTAAGTTTTCTGTAATTATAAATAACCCATAGTAAGAAATATTTGAAAAACATATTCAATAATTGCACCTAGAAGTCTACCTGTCAGAGTGTAGAAATTGTATATGCTCTCCGAAGAATATTTCTGTCTGACAAGGAAATGTGTACACCACAAAAGCAAACTAAGTAAATACAGTTTAATTAACAGAGGCCATTTGAAATCCATGACATCTACTGCAGATGTCATGAAACTTTACCCCAGGTGTTCCCTCAATTTTGTAATATATACAACATATACATCCTACCAGTATGGGTTGGCTGATAATTAAAAATATACTGCAAGCCAAATTTTGAAACAATGTCGAGTTCACGTTCTGGCAGAAAACAATTGTGTTTTTATCTTTGAATCTCTACTGCTGCAGGAACCGTACATCTAGAGGAAGCCATAAAAGGAGCAATACTGGTGCAAGAGTGTGTCCCAGAGAGACTGGACCTCAAAAGGAATGTGTACCAGGATGTGGACAAGTTTATGGATGACAATACCATTCTGTCTAGCTCTACCAGTACCTTTCTTCCCTCTAGGCTCTCTGATGGGCTCAAACACAAAAGCCATTTCATAGTATCACACCCTGTAAGTGAATTTTTTGAACTAACCTAAAAAATATTGGAACCCATGTTTGATGTGTGACTATGTAGAGTAGGAACTTTGCTCAGAATATTAATATTGGCAGAATTGGCATGCAAAATGATAACATTCTTATGTAGTTTTAATAATCATTGCATTTATTATAACTGATAAGCTAATTTTAGTCAATTCAGAAGTAGTCATTTTTGAAGAATTTAAATTTATGTCTCTCATTTACACACTTGTGCTGTATCTATTAATGATCTCTTGCAACAAGAAATTTGACCTTCTCTATATATAAGCACATCATGACTCAGCTTCCAAAGACTCATTTCTGAGTATTCAGTATACTGAATGCAGATGAGATTAATGCTTAATTAGGAAAGGCTTCATACTGTGCACCCTACACCTTACTCCATACTTCCCCTCTTCTTCTCAGGGAAGGACGTAAACTACACAGATTTTAAAACAAAGTCTGAAGCCAAATATTTGTACTAAAGGGACACATTCTAAGCAAAAATGTAGGAAATGTATAATAGGAAACTTTGAAACATCTTGTTTGCTTAATGTTGTTAGGTTGGACAAATCAAGAGGGTTACAATTGGCTGGACAAGTGACTCATGTGCAGAAAACAAGATATGTGCATGAAATTTTGGTGAAGGGATCTGTTCAAAAGTGGTCACATTAAAGGCTAAGATGAAGATGGGAAGATAATATCAAAATGGATATTAGGGAAATGGGCAGTGAATGTATGAACTGTATTGAATTACTAATAATACAAATTCCACTGCCAATGCAACTACAGTTTATTAACTTATGTTCCATTACATATTTTGACCCCTATAGGGCCATCCTCTAGTGTTGTACTAATATACACACAAAATTAGATTTTTTAAAAGAATGGTAAACTTAACTATCGTCACCTTTACGGAAGATGAAATGTAACTACTTGATAAAGAACTGAAATATAACCTGCAGTATAAACCTAAGAACTGGATACAAACAATTGTAATGCAAGCAGATACAGGAATAAAACCTAACAGAACAAAACTATGTGCAACAAGTAGTAGCAAACAACTTACAGAAACTATTAAAAAAGGAAAAATAAAAAAAAGAAAAGAACAGATAAGCAGAACAAGAATGGAATATCTGAAAAATATAATAAAAAAATAGAAAACAATCAGTTGATAATAAGAAAAGCAGATAAAGGAAATAAATTTGTAATAATGTATAAAGATGAATATAATAGAAAAATTGACGAATTTATAATCGCTAATGGTCACGGGTTCAAGTCCCGATGAGGTCATTGGATTTTCTTCAGTTGACCTATTCCTTCCAGCCGCACTAGGCCCTGGGGTTTACTCAGCCTCTAACAGAAATGAGTACCAGGAATTAATTAAATAATTTTCCTGGGGAGTAAAGCGCGGCCAGTGCATAAGGCTGACAACCTTACCGCCATCTTTGAGCCGATTGTCTAGATAGTGTGGGACCCTCAACGTCTCACAACCCTATGGCCCTTCACGGCCTGGTACAGGGATAGCTTTACTTTACTTTTTACCTAATGATATTACAAACAGACAACAAATTGGGACACAAAAGCAAATTTATAAGTGTAAAAACATAATAAAGTAAGATGAAAAATGGAAATATATAAACATGCATTCAAGTGCCCCATATTTATAGAGCACTATAATGCTACATAAGCAAGGTAAACCAATATGTCCAACAGTCAATTGGAAGAACTGTCCAGCATATAAAACAGCAAAATACCTAAATAAAATATAACAACGTACGTTACGGTTACTATACACGTTCAACGTAAGAAACTTGACTACATTAATCCAGGCACTTACACAGATAGAAATAGTTGATAACACAAGATTGTGCTCATTTAACATTGAAAATATGTATACAAATTTACCTATAACAAATGTAGAACATACAATGAATGAAATTTTGAGTAATAATAATATTAAGGAAACAGTGAAAGAAGAAATACTATACATCTTAAATATTGTACTTGGGGCAGAATTAAATACAAGTTAATAAGCATTATTGTATACAAAATGAGGGTTTAGCAATGGGGGCCCCAACATCAGCTATATTGGGCCCCAACATCAGCTATATTGGCAGCTATATTTTTAATATAGTTTTATATGGTATGTTGGACATGTACACAATTTGTGTATGTTGTTAAATATTAAATTATAGTATTACTGACGTTTATACAAATAATTTGACTTGTTCTATATCTGGAGGCTGCATTGCAAAATGTGGATTTCTGGAACCAGTAAAAATGAATGAAAATTATACATACAATACTTAGAACATACATCCGTTGCTGATATCTTGAGTAAACATCAAATCGTGGATTATTACAGATATATGGATGACATTTTAATCGTATATGACACACAGAAAACAAACATCATCAATACACTAGATGATTTTAATGCAATACACCCAAAACTGAAATTCATTATGGAGCAACAAACCCAAAATAGAAAAGAAATTATCTTAACGATTAAGGAAAACCAAAATGAACTGAATTTTGAAATATATAGAAAACCTACTTCCACAGATCTCATAATACATGTCACCCATATGAGCATAAAGAAGCAGCTATCAACTACCTATATAACTGATTTTTTTTATTTGTTATTTATTCCATC